GTTCTGAAGGCAACCGACTGAAAAACCTGGAGTATGCGGACAACATAGCTTTCTTTGGGTCTGACGCAATGGTTGTGCAGACACTACTGGATAGGTTGACGAATACCACTGCACGTCTCGGCATGTGCTTGCACCTTCAAAGTGCAAAGTACGGATGCAGAACTGGACCGACACACCTACGGTTCTAGCTATCACAGAAAAGTCACTGGAGGTGGTGGATCGGTTCTCTTACCTTAATAGCTGTGTCACCTCTGGTGGTCACACCACTGATGTAGTGACTTCGGGTATCCGCAAGGCCCGTGTGGCTTTCCAGAAAATCAACCATCTATGGATACGGCGGGATATCAGTCTGTCAGTGAAAAGTAGGGTGTACAACACTACTATAAGGCCGGTGTTACTCAATGGATCACATATCTGGCCAGTTCGCGGCGAAGACATCCAACGCTTGGCCGTGTATGACCACCGGTGTTTGCAGAGTATGGCGCACGTCTAGTAGGAACACCGGATGAGCAATGCTGAGGCCCACCAGTTGGTTTTTGACAAGAAACCTTCTGGTTCATAACTCGAGTGTTTACCGAATCTTAATCGGTTACGTTGACCAGGCCATGTCCTCCGTATGCCTGTTGACCGGCTTCCTCGGTGTGCATCATACGCCGTCGCTGCATCAAGTTGGGTGAGACCGTGAGGTGGCCAGTCCATGACGTGGCATAGAGAAATGGACTGAGAGACTTGGTCAAGCTGGTGCGTGCCGTCTTCGTGGATGGAGGCCTCGGAATTGTCCACACCAATGGTTGAAAACCGTAACAGATATGGCGCAGTCACGCATTGACCTTCCTCCATTCAGTTTTTGCATCTGGTTACTAATTTTCGTTCCACTGTATCGCAAGCCCACTTGGACAGAACAGTACTATTCTGATTACTTTAACGCATTTGGTTCGTGTTTCCATTTTCCTTACATTCTATCTGCATTCGACCCCACTATCATGCCGTTGCTATTCTGGTGATGTGAATCGTGGTAACTGGATTCAGCGCACTTTGGGGCTCAAACCACAGTTGTTCAACGGAACGAAACGGCGTGCTCGGTTGGGCAAAAACGTTTGTAGTGTCTCTACATACAATTGCCTTGTAGCTGGGATCGCGTTTTGGTCGAGAAGTGTAGTTACTATCCACTGGGCGCATAAACGCACGCAAATCTGGTCAGCAATCCATCTCGATGAAAATAGTACTGGACAGCGTTGCCGGTTTACGTGGGACAGGGCAATAACCTCCCCTCGTGAATGCTTGCCTCGCTGCAACGAAGCCACCTTTGGAGTTCAAAGCTATGGATGTCATAAAAACAGGCAGTGAACTGAATTGCCTAGAACCGAGAAGTGTTTCGGTGCATATCAAGACAGGTAGATCACCCAACTAAATAGGCGTAAATTGTTTTCCGCTGAAATCTAACTGATTCGTCAAACGTGCAATCCGAAACAGCACCAGGTAGCTGTTTTGCCCTATTGGGACCCATCAGTGTTGTGCATTTCCTCAACGCTTTTCAGAGAACATAATCCATGGTCCCTAACAGCTTGCATCAACTAGCCAGTAGTGGATAACAGTGAACCATGGGGATGGTAACAGACCGTCATAACTAACAACCTAACTGGGATATAGCGCGACTTATCCCCCAATGCCATGCAGGTTACTAGCACTGCAAAGGACAGTGTCTGGCCTCCACTACACAGCAGATATGTACGCATAGCATTTGAGGACGGTGAGGGAGAAGTTCTGACTGCTAGTGAGTATCGTCCCAACCAGGTGGACACTATGAACCGAAAGAGTATTCACCACTTCACATATACTGGAACAGATCAGAGACTAAGTGTGGTTACGTCGGGAACTTACAGTAGCGATCAAGCTGAGAAACTATGGGGCAAAAACGCGACGTTTTGTTGACATACGGCGAGGAGCCCTGCCTAATAGGAAAGTGAACCAGGTGTAGAATTAAAAAATGTTCGTGTGCGATGGAGATGTGGGAAACCCGTCGAGATGGAGAGTCGGATGTGCTGTGACAAACTGGAACGAGTAACGCAGGTACCGCAACGGGCATCAGCCATGCCTGGAGTATACGGTGAGAAAGTGGGATGCTCTCAGCACTAAAGAGCATCTGTTTTCGTTAGTTTACACATTCCAAGTCGACAGCTTGATCGATTAATGGCTAAGTATTTGTTTACCCAACGAGGAGCAGAGAACATTCAAGAATAAAGAATCGTTCATGTATAATAGGGGAGATAGCGTTGCACAGGTACTAGTCTGTAGGGTAGAAGATAAAGTGAAGAAGTGGATTTTGAAAGAGAGATAGAGGGGACTAACACAGACTGCACACAAGACAACCTTAATTCACACGAACGCGCTATGAACACAATGAAAATACTGTCAAGATCCAAGGTACCGTGTACGTAGCGAATATCAAATTGTAACAAAGAGCGAGGCTGGCAGAAAAAGAAGTGAGTGAACGTCAAAAGAGTAGTGTTGGTGCACAGGGAATCGAAAGAGTAAGATAGAACTTGTAACACGGGTGAAAGCGAAGTAGGAGTGAGAACAAAAATGGTTGTTGCCTTATAGCCTCTCCGATACGGTTGGTCGGTCTTAATTTCCAGTAAGCTCCGCGTAGGTCGAATCGAGTTCCTCGCTGAGTGCCTTGTATTTTTCTTTCTCGGCGACCAGCTCGTCTGAAAATTAAAAGTTGGTTGGGTAATGATAAATTCCCAATACTGGATAAAGTAAGCGGTTTCTAGTGGCACCTTAGTTTTCCTCTGCCCTTTGATCTGAAACAGTTCTGCGCTAACAATTAAATTCCGTGGCAACCGGACAATTGTTGTGTAACACTACCATCAACTGGAAAGCGTGAAATAATAATGGACAACCTTCAGTTCCTTTAAGCACAGGTACACGAGAACGGGAGACGAACAAAGCGCCAAGGTGACGGGACCAGGAGCGGAAGAAACACTGCTACATTCAAACGAATAATGTTACTCGAGAATAGACTAATAGGTGCGAGTCGCTGCTATCGTAGGAGGATATGTTCGAGCACGAAGCCTGTGTAATCGCAAACAAGTAGGGTTCCTGAAAGATACAACAAGAGGAAATTGCTTAGGCGCAAGAAACTACGATGTGATGCTTGGAATATCTGGTGCGGTCACTTTATTAGAAAGGTTTGTCTTTCAAATGAATCCTGATCTTCGAAGGGGAACAACTCCGATAGGCCAACAACCTGACTCCTCCTCCGGTACTCTCATCTATTTCCGTGAAGAGCACTGTGCCGCTGCACGGTGGGAAGGTGCAAAACTTATCCCCGTATAGTTAACCTCATAGTGGGATACTGATTCCAAGCAAAGAAGTAAACGGTGGTACCTATGGCCAATCCCGATAATGGGGTGGTCGGCACCAGTCATGAGCCGATGGACGAATAAATATGTAATTGTGATAAATCCAGGCAGTTGGTTCAGCAGCAATAGACTAGACACCTTCCATTACTGTAAGTTGAACATTGAGAGGATGCTGACCGTTTAGTGCCTACGACAGAGACAACGGTTAACTGTCAACCGATGCATGGCAACAGCATGGGACTAGCGGTATAGTGGGTGTTTACTTCTTCACCGCGTAAACAACCTAGCCTCGCCCGTAATGGACCATACGATGCGGTACCAACAACGCTACCAACTGCAATGACTGTGCCTTACGCAGCAAGAGCTGAGAGACGAACATATTTCGACTCGTACTCTGGCATCACGCTGAAAAGCGTTCTTGGAGTGACACATCAAAGTTAAAAGGGTCGAATTCCTACTATGAAGAAAGCTAATAAACAACTCACAACACCGCTTTTCGAATCATCGGTCTTGCAGTACGTGCCACCTGGAATTTCTAAAGCATCTAACCGACTCGCGTGATCATGGTATATCGGCAACTCTAATTTACTGCGACATGCACAAAGGCCTTTGATCGGATGCCGCAAGAAAAAAAAACTAATAACTAAAATGTCTACCAACTTTCACCTCAACACAGATCCGCCAGAGTCAGGAACAAGCTACCACTCGGAATACGTGCCTGCACTCCTGAACACGAGTTTCGAAAAAAAACATCAACAAGTTCTTGTCTGAACAGAACGAGATCCGATTGTTTGAGTGTTCCATAACAACAAGTCAAGCGTTTGAGCAGGGTCAAGGTTTCATATGACCTAGTATATAATTTATCATCACAATCCCTCCTGTGGTTCAGCTGTTTTATATGCGAGAAAACGGGTAAATGCCAGCCAACATCATTGCAGTTCAGGCACGCATCTATTATGTTTGCGCTGTCCTGCCAAACATCACTATCTGAACGGATATTCAAGTATGCTGATCCACTTGTGGTCAGCGTTCTATAAAAGCGTGTACTTACCCGATCATATCGATACCAGCGCGTCTCGTATTGTCGAGAATAAAAATTTAGTATTATTGGTGTTCACACAAAGCCAGAAACTGCAGAGGGTTTGCCAAACAGGCAGGTAAAAAGAGAAAGTGCCAACGACAGGTGGCCGATAGGAAAACAACAATACCAAATGATGGCCGGTCTATCGATTAGTCGGAATATAGCCAAGGGGTCACGGCAACAACCGACATGGTGCTGCCTAATGGAATGTGGCACCAAATTCACTTAGCGCTGTAAACAGCGACTTTGTGTGACTGAACACTAGATGTAGCCAACCCAATCGAGTAGAACAAACACAAGTCCACAAACACAAGTCAGCCCTCTTAGGACCGAATCGTGTGTGTTACAGCCGTTCCGGAAACGTACCACCAACACTACGGGTGTTGTGCAAATACAATAGCGCATAAACCATTGTGACAACTGGTGAGACCGTAGAAATCCGAAATGGCCGTACTATTTCATAACAGGCCTGATTGATTAACCAATCCGGTGGTGAATGCCACAGAAAGAAACGGAATTATCCACCAAGCCACTGAAACCAAAAACAAATACGTCAAATAGGCTGAATGTCAGGTGCTTTTTCATTGGACGCGGTAACATTATTCGGAGAAAAACAGTAAATTCACCCAGCTGAGCGGGTAAACGATTTGAATGAATGGGCAAGTTAGCTGAAGCTTCGCTTATTGCAGTCAGAGGGACTGTAAAGGACCACTCATACGCAACAAAAGGAAAGAGGATAGTGATTGATCGGAGCACAAAAGTGGACACAGATATATTCTGGCCCATCGGGTCGTATGCGGCCCTAAAAAAAACTTGCCAACGCGTACGTGCAACTGGGATGCTGAACATGCAGAAGGGGAGGAATTTCCGTGGAACGCAGTGCAACACGATTGCATAAACGGAATGAAAACGCAGAGAGAGAGAGAGAGAGATACGGCAACGGCGCGTGCGTCAGGACAAGTTGGCAAGGTTTTTGTCGAAAAAATAGCGAAGCAATAAGTTCGAGCAAAGCATGATTATTTGATGAGTGCAAGCTGATGGATAAAATGAAACTATGAGATAAACTATGAGAAACAAATGCATAGCAACACATAGGGTACGGCATACTCTCCATTGGGGAAAAGACAAGAGTTCATAATGTATCACGAAACAGTGAAGTAGGAGGAAGACAAGCAAGCGGGAAAGAGCGCAGTTAGAGAGATGTGCACTCCCATACAAAAAAGGAAGCATCACAGAGGCGTGCAAAAACGTAGTGTTAAATCCTGAAACGGGTTCAAAGTGGTCAGAGGCAAAAAGGCCGTAGGCGTCCGTAATGTGTCAGATCGGCTGCGTCCAATGCGATCGGACGACTGAGGGGCGTGGTGCGAAGGAAGCGACCAGGATCGGTGAGCATCTCACATATTGCCCACTTCTTGTAACATGTTCTCCATTTCTTTGCGGAGATTGGCGTGGTTGAGCTGCTCGGCCTCCAGAACCTCTGCACAAAAGTCAGGATGGGAGGAAGAAGAAGAAGTGCTACTAGAACGAATGTTTAGTGCACGATGATAGTTCAACACATACACACAAAACAAAATGAGCCAAGTCAACATGTAAGGTGATCAAAAAATGGCAGTCTGAATCACCACCGTGCAATAACGAGAAGTAATGGGAGTATACACTGGGTAGTCAGAATGGTAGTCGAAGCTTGGTTCACTACACAGTGACTAAAATGAATCGAAAGATGATGTTATCGAAGTGAGATGGAGGCAAAAGTGATCGGGGAATATCAAAGAAACCCCAAAACATGACTGATTTCGATGGAAACGCTGGAGGGAGAAATGGTAGTCTCGCAGCGTGAACTAACACGATGCTTGGAGGAGTTGTGCTGCGAGTTTCAAGAAAAATGGACGCGAATAACAGTCGACTAAATGTAATAGAACAACAACGAGATCTGCCCACAAGTTGGGAAGGAATCCGGATGGGAGCCACGGTCCTAAGCGTAAGAGTAAAGCATCAAAACGTTGGCGCGTTTACCTCATCATTCCCATCATCGTCGCGGTGGAAAAAAGCCGGGCGTTAAAGTGATGCGACGGTTTGCCCACCTTGGCAGTCGCTGCTACCCGACTGGTCAATAGTTAGTGGAGGCAGGCAAAATCAACCTCATGGTCCTATAGGTTGGTGACTGGAAGAAATAGCATTGAATTCTGTAAACCTGATTCATCATATAAAGCAATGCTATACTCTCGTCGCCTTGTGGCTAGGTGTTTGGGACCAGAATTATCCCAGCTTGTCAACAATCGTGACTATTCTAACCGCATCCTGCATGGGCCACCGCATCGTTACAAAAGGGTCGTCTTTTCAGCTAAACACCGCATAACGAACAAGAAAAAACAAACCATCGTTGATGCCCCATTGTTACTTTCCACCTACTTCTCTCACACGCTTCCCGACGATTGTTACTAACCGCATTTCTGCAATTCCGAGTGGCAGCGGCGGCAACGGCTTCAGTACGACTGGAGCTCTGTAATCCGTAGATATATCCACACACCAGCTTGTGACCAAGTTTCATTTGCAGTGGCCAGCATCCTACGCTAAATGAGTCGACAGCTTGCATTTGCACGCACACTTGATATCTTCGGTGCTGACATGTTGCGTCTGCGAAAGTGGAGACCATGACGCCCACATGGTTAGTGAATTAAGTGCGTCTAGCATGTCCCTTTGTACGCAACCGAAGACGCTGAGGCACCGACCGCAGATCAAGCTGGAGTGGACGCCATTCTAAACTCCATGGCTGATAAACCCGTAGGCTAACCGGAATCCGGTGAATGACAATCGGTGTGCAATCTATTTGATACAATCAAATAGGGTTAACATACACAGCAAAGAAAGGTGCCATTTGACACTTTTGATACCAATGCATAGATAAACTGAAATCCCGATTATGATAAAGACGTCTGACACCACGACCCTGGCACGTTACTTCGCAGTGTCTCTAGCTAAGTTAGAGTTGCTTAAGTTATGAATACGCAAGTAGATCATCCCAGCCCTTTGGATTTAAGTTCGAAAGCACGGACGGTCGAAAGTGTGTGTGTGTGTGCAGATCATCGGTCTTCTTTTAGCAGCACTGTCTTCAGGTGAAAAAGATGCCGATGGCAGCCCTTGGCAGTCGGCCACTGATGAAGCAAAAATGACCAAACCAACCTTTACTTCAGGTGACATGGTGTTACAATTGAGTACTGGTCGTTGTGGAACCCACATGATTATGGTCATGCTATGTTATGCCACCGAGTATGCTCGAACTTTTTGCTGACTACATGACCATAGATAACCGCAAGATCAGTGAACCTGATGCAGTCCAGTGGAAGAATCACTGCTAGCACAGAATATACTGTGATAATCGGGCTGGCTATCGAACGTGATCTAAAACGGAGCCTGAGCACTAGGGTAAGGAATTTTAATCAGCATCATTATACACGTTAGCTAGAGGTGGGGAACACCCCAACTTTTGTGCGGCAATACAAGGAAATGGAAAATACACAAAAGAAGCGCGCCAGAGAAGTCATCAGTAACGGATGAACATCGTTTCGAAGAACTAGCGGTCGGCTACTGTGCCCCAAAAGTTATGTTACCAGTCAGAAATGATATCGTGGTTGAAGGGGAGAGGCTAAGCGGGAGGGGAAATGACAAAGAAACTCAAAGCACAAACGCTATTGAAGTGGAGTCTTCGCTATGTCAACAAGTGTATCCAGCCAAACGTGTTCATTGTTTCGGGGCCGCAATCACGGATCCGATAGTTACCAACCGAGGCCAACTTCGAACTAATTGCCTTCATTCCTCGTGACTAAGTCATCGCTTCGCTTCCCCATTCTTTCTTCGATCCACACCTCCGGCGAGCACACAAAGCACGACGAAGGAGTTGGTGTTCTGACATGTGCAACACGTGGCCCAGCCATCGGAGCCTGGTGTGTGAAATAACGGTGCTAGGAATCTTGGTGAATCAGAGTCCATAAGAAATAGGAGATTGGCAAACTCAACAGACAATCCCAACTGATATGCATCGATGGCTTCAGAAAATCACCTACCAAGTGCACAGTAAGGGGCAGCACCGTTTGGCACTTTGGCGGGGAACTTTCACAGGGAGACCAGCTGGCCAGTTCCCACTAAGAGACTGCCTTTCAAGAGTGGCAGGTCAAACCATGTGGGTTGGTTTATGTGTTCCCTTTGACGGTGGAGACGTGGCCAGGGCCTTCAGCTGTCTCCGTGTTACTGGTTCAGCTTTTTCTGCACTCGCGCTGTTTGAAGGCGGTGGTGGACCCATTTATTTGAACAATCATGGGAGAAAGAGACTGTTTTAGGAAGACAGTCGCATTGTTTGTGCTAAACATAAGGATATCAGATTGATGCCCGTGGTAACAAAGATACTGGCCTTCATTTCCGTCTACCACCTTAGTGTCGAACGGGAATCCCAAACGAAAGAACAATCAGGAAGAGATCGTATAAACCGTATATTCTCTCTGCGAACAAATACTAGAGCAGTATCATACATATTTCAAGTCGAAGATGATTGCATTTTCCAATTTCAGCAGCCTGTCTAACTCAATCGATCGCCCCACCATCCCATATACTTGCCACTAGGAGTGCCCCGATCGAACAACGATTTGTAGGACGCTCTCGAGACGACAAGTAGGATACATCAGAGTTAGCCTATGCCCCAGTTACACACTTTTAACGTAAAATCCATCTTGGAGCGCTCCTTTTGGAGTATGAAGACGCAGGCATTGAGTACTTGATGCGTTGAGCGTTGGATACTGCGAACATCGTGCTGTTGTAAGAGATCCGGGAATCAGCATAGTCAACTCTCGACAAGGTTACTGGAACGAATTCACTATTTGGTAGGCGCTTCGCAAAGTGCAAGTACGGGATTATAAAACATTTGATGCCCCTTAGACCTTGATAACCAGGGATGGCAGCAGAGAACTGACCGACTCACACATCTTAACAGCTGCACTAGAAATGAGAGGCAGTTGACTGCTGTGAAAGTCAAAAAGAAAAAATGGCATTATCAGTACACCGGTACGCATTACCGATGCTTCGCTGCCGCGCAACCACCAATAGTCGCAGGTGAGCTAAAGATACTGCAAGGGTTGCCAGGTCCCTACGCAGACTCGAACCTGTGCCCTCGGATTACAAGGCAAGCTTGTGATTCTGAAGAATACGGGCCGGCGCTGCGAAAGCCAGAGCTCTATTTGGTGTGAGAAGTGAATTTCCTTAGAATGAGTGTGAATAGGATCACAGTGTGTGGCGCTGCGGTAGTGAGACATGGAGCAGAGGCACTTTCGGGTTGTTGATCGTTACTTGCAGAGTATTGAGTAGATGGGTACTGGAAAATAATAATTAGGTCAATTTCCTAGTCACAGGAATAAGAGTGAAGAAGCTCTAGTTTGAGGACGTGTTGCAGATGCCCATTGAGGGACGTTTGCTCCATTTGAACGAGATGGAATGGCCCAACTCTCTAAGTGGGCAAATTTTGACTTGGTAGCGGGAAATAAGATCTAGCGACGATTAAACCGGATGCTGCTGGTCCGCCCCGTCCGCCAGGCTGGAGTATACGCGGTTCACCCTACGCTTGTTCAGAAGCACTAGGGGACACCGCTTGCAACCACACCAGTGGCGCGCTTTCTGTCGTTTCCCATCTGAGCTACCAGTTTAAAATGTGTATGGTCTCAAATTAGAGTGAGTAGATTGAACGCTCAAGACAAACTGTCGACGTCCTTCAACACTTTCAGGGATGAGAGAAAAACTTGCTCGTTGCCAACCTTTCCTCTTTAACTTCACCACTAACGAAGTCATGGAAACTGCATTCCTTGGACACGACTTGGAAGGTGTGAGGCTGCTCCCAGGTGATCGAATTCTTGACGCCGACGATACTACCCTAATCCGTGACAGCTTCCAAAGGTGCCAAGCAGCAATGGACAGATTAGCACTGGGTGTCAATTGTTTTGGGCTATGTTTGGGGTCTTCGAAATACAAAGCTTTCCTCCGCGATTGGCGGGGACCCACAACCGCACTGACTCTTAGTGGTGATCATCTATAACTCGTGCAGGAACTCTAGTATCTAGACAGTTATAATAGCGCCCGTGGAATCGGAGATCACCGACCGCGTAAAAAAGGTCGAGGCGTTTTTACTTATCTCTGTCACCTGTGACGTCGGCGTGAGATCACTCTCGCCCTGAAGGGTAAAGTTTACAATGCAGCCATACATGCGACCCTCCTGTAAGGATGTGAAACCTGGCCCATCAGATCGACAGATATGACGAGTCTAGTGACGTCCCACCAGCGGTGCCTTCGCAGTTCAGCTCACGCATGGTGGGAGCATCGCGTAAGCAATGAGCGTGTTCTGTATCGTGTATTTGGTGCAGGAAGAGCGAGTGAACCGCTCAGCACTGTTATATCACGTAAAAGGATCCGATGGCGGGGCGACAGACTGCGTATGATAGCACACCGACTCCCGTGATGTGCGTTGATTGCGCGCCTGGGGTGTGGACGGAAGAAGAGGATGGGAAGCCAAGCGATCACTTGGTCAAGAGCAATGAAGACCTCATTTCGAAGTTGACCTCGGTTGGTATCTCTCGACTGCCGGGCTGCGGTCCCAAACACGACGAACACATTTGGTTGGTTGCAATCGTTGACATGGCGAAGAGCCAATACAATGGCGATCGTGTCCCTTTGTCCCTTACCCTCCAGCTTAGGTTCCTCCCAAACACGATCTCACACTCCAAGCATAATATGACACATAACATTAGATTGCTGTTTTTATAGTTTTTGTATTCTGCAATGTTTAGTATCTTGATTTTTTCATATTTTTATGTATTGTGGCACAATAGCTAAGGCATGTTTCTCACATTTACCTAGTGTAATGATTATGATGATGATCATTTCCGACTGCCGAATAAGTATCTGTCCCGGACACGGCAAACAAAGCAGGGCCTTCTCAGTAAGCGGAAAAGCACAACAGATACTCAGACTGACGCAAACTGCTCACCACAACATAACTATCGCCGCCTAGTATTCGTTTGAACGCCTTACGTGGCACAACCAAGTAAGCAAAGATGGTTAGGGATCTGAAGGCGCATAACAGAACGATCTCCACTGTGGCCCGGTATACACAATTAAACTGATGATTCCATGACGTGGCAAAAGGTACCATGAAAAATGACACTACCGTGGTCAAAGATCCTGACACCGATGCATGTTAGATAGCGAATGACGGTCTGAGATCGTTGAAGGAAGCACAAATTCAACGCAAAGGAAAGAGGTTATTACTACCATTACTATGCTGCTATACCATGCGACTACATTATTGTAGTAGTAATATATGTAACAGTAGCAGCATCTTGACAACGTGAGTCAAAGCAACCGGACCCACCGCACATTGGCGGAGCATGGCTGAGCAACTAAATGGAACTGCTCAGACTGTCTCCGCATTTATCGACCAGTGGTGGTAGAACTACAGGATGAGAAAGCAAGCAAAAAGACTCACCTTCGAGTTTGCACAGCTCGTTCTGTTTGTTTTGTTCCAACTGGCTTGCTTCAGTGGCGCGCCGCTCAGCCTGCAGTACGACCACAGCAAATCCAAGGGGAGATGGTGGAAAAGAGGGGACATGCGGAAATCCAGTGGCGAGCACATGCATTGGAAGAGAAGGAAGAGAGATGCAAACCAAGTTGAAGAAGGCAGAAACCGGCATACAAAGGAGAGAGTGGTTGGGAGTATTGAATGAAGATGCGTGACAAAGTGAACTCTGGTGAGGGGTTACCTTCAAGGCGATCGGCATCCGCCTGAAGGGTATTGACTAATCGTTCGGAATCTTGAGCGCGATCTTCCGCCTAAGAAAAAGTACGGATGGAATGGCACCGTATCAGAGGGCACATTAGTTCGCGTGCAGGATCCCGCATAACTCAGGGAGTGAAAAGCATGCGGTGCAAAGCGGGCTGGGCGCACTCATGCACAGCAAACGCATTCACTATACCAGTATTGCCAAGCGGGAACCGTGGTTCCATTGAAATGATACCCGGTCTAGGTGAGAACAAACAGGCGAAGGTAACCACGGTACGCAGTGATGACATTTCGACGCCACGCGACGGGGACAAGTCACTTGTGCGCTGGAAATACTGCGATGTCGCTCTCACCTCACACCAGCAACCTCCATATTACAAGGCAGGCTTGTAATCCATATGGCTACTGGCCGGCAGCTGAGATAGAACAAGATGATAGTGCCTAATCTGTCAATACAGATCAGCATATACTAACAAGGTCGAAAAGGTTACGCGACAATTACGAACAGCTGCAGGATCAAGTGAAAAAGATGTTGTTAATGAGTGAACAGTTGAACGTACGTACTCAAATCATCATTGGAAGCGCATGTCGCAGCTGTCATCTGTCCGAAGGCGCCTGAGAAACGGCTCGAGATGTCACCATTCCAATGCAAATTAGCATGGCGAGTCGTTGCCGGAAGCAAATCGCTCCACTTGTACCACATTTGGTTTTAAAAGCTTCATCATTATTATACACGTTATACACCTCAGCTATTACTTTAGCTGATTAATCAGGAGAGAATAGGTAATCAGTTAAGTACACATGGCATAACGCGAAGAACTGCAGTCTAAGGTTTGAGCTAGGTAAGTACTAGCGCATACATGTTGAACAATGAATATTTCTCAATAAATCGATATGTGGACTTTACGATGAAGTTTGATCCCTATGAGGCAAGAGGGGGGCGATTGAGTTTAGTGACATCACTAAGATAAAAAGCAGATTCGCTAGGTTACTACAACTGTGTCCGGAGATCCATTCACACGGGGCGCACCTTTCTCATGAAAGTGTTACTTGCCAAAATTTGACTATTGTAAAATATGCCATAAATGCATGCAAGGCAGAGCAATTAAAAACTGAGCAGGACACAAAGCTGGTGTAATGAGTCAACCCCAATGATAGGGGTGAACACCGATATGATCGTCGTTCTGCGCGCCGATCGTGTACATTCAAGTTAGCAGGTGAGACCGGAGTTGTGGGAATGGAATTGTTGTGACCGTAGGATAACAACGGGGTTGATACGTCCGCATGAAAGCAGACAATGGGCTCAGCATCATCAGAACGCCTATTAGAACAATACTTGTTCCATATGGAAGCAAATCGGAAGTTCTGGAGACATCCAAGTGGCTGGTTAGGCCACACAGTCTATTGCTGCCGCTGAAAGTTGACGGCGTAACACATTGACAATCAGTGGAAATTCATAGGCATACACAGTAACGGCTTACAACAGTCAGAAGGGGGGACAGTAACTCAGGCCCCAGACTTGACGACAAGCAGGACGGGCTAACAACAACAACAACAACAACAACAACAACAACAACAACAACAACAACAACAACAACAACAACATAGTCCGCATCCTTTGTTGCGTTCGTGTTGTGGTTCCTCTCGAATAAGATGAAGCAAATTGGATCAGCGGTCTGCCAATGTTATCAAGCACACTGTGCATTGCAATACGCTAAACAACTCATGTGAGACAAAAGAATGGGGAAGCATACCAACGGATTTGCGCAGAAGGATAACTCTCACCAGACAGACAGACGATGCTCTTCAAGAGGGTGTACTCTGAGGAGCGGAAAACTAAGTGTAGTTCGCCTGTATGTCTAGTAAAGTGTAAGTCGACGGACATAAAGAAGCTAGTTACGTTCGATCATCGGTGCCTTCGCAATTTAGCTCATGTCTGGTGGGAGCACCGCGTGAGTAAGGAGTGTGTTCGGCGTCTCGTATTTGGCGCAGGAAGAGCGAGTGAACCGTTCAGCACCGTTATATCACGTAAAAGGATCCGATGGCGGGGCCACAGATTGCGCATGATAGCTCACCGACTCCCGCGACGTCCACTGCGCACCGGGGATGTGGATGGAAAAAGAGGGTAGGTCAAGCGATGACTTGGTCAAGAGGAGTGAAGTCCCTCACCTCGAAGTTGGCGTCGGTAGGTGTTTGCCGACTGCCTGGCTGGAGACCGACATGGCGAAGAGTCCACTTACAATGGCGTTTGTGTTGTGAGCCTCTTTTTCCTTCCCCTTCCCTTTAGCTTCCCCTCCAACAACGATCACAAATGTGATATTAGCATTATTTTCCATTTTTTGTAGCTGTTAAGTCTACCCTACTTAATGTCTAAACTTTCTTGTATTGCGGTACATTAGCTGAGGTGTCTTCCTCAGCCTCGGCTAACGTGTATTGATGATGATGAGTAAAGTGCAAAAATCATCGCTACAGTTTGTGGGCGCATAGGCAGCGATGATGAATAGACACTATTAGTCCCGGTAAAGAACGACTTCTACTGCCAACTGACCCAGCTCCTTCGCCACAGAAGAAGCACGGACACTGTTGTGCTGGCGGGGGATATGAACGCACAAGTTGGAAAGTTGTCCACTGATAAACTGCATCTGGGCGGTCAACACGGTGCAGGCTCCCGTAATGATAACGGTGAGCGGTTACTTCATTTGTGTGAAGATGCTCGTTTATTTCTTGCGAGCACTAATTTCCGACACAGCAACCGCCGGAGGGTGACTTGGCGCCCACTAGCCTCGAACCAGCGTTGGACGCAGATCGACCACATTGCCATCAGTTACCGCTAGAGAGGCTGTATCCAGAATTGTCGCTCGATTTGGAGCATACGTGTGGACACCGATCATGCACTTGTATGTGCTGACATGCGGATGCGTTTTGGCGGACGCCCACAACGACGATGTGAGCGCATGGACACCAGCCAACTGACAAAGCCAGCTGTTCTGAATGAGTATCGAAGTATGCTGACATGCGAGTTGAGTAATTGCTCACTGGAGACAATTGATGGTCACTGGTCACATGTTCGCCAGACCTTACTAGCAGCAGGCAAATCATCATGTGGTACGTCTAATAGCCAACATGGATATTGGGTCTCTTCTCGGTCTCTGGAACTTATCGACGCTCGCCGGCACATCCCGGCTGGAAGTGAACACAATGAAACTCGCAAAGAGCTCCGGGCAAAACTCCGTGCTAGCCTGAAGAGAGACCGCGAATCTTGGTGGTCCCATGGTGCGTCAGAGATGGAAGTGGCAGCTGCCCTTGGCAACCATCGTAAGTTATTCCGTCTGATACGGGAAACGGGCAGCAGGAGACCTGGTGTTAGTGAAACTATACGTGATGAGAGTGGACAGCCTATCCACAATTTGTCAAAACGTTTGGAGCGTTGGGCTGAGCATTTTGAAAAACAATCTAATCGGCTAGAATTGTTCGATTCTTCGCCGGCCAGTGATCGCCCTGCTCCGTGGGCTGACCCTTTGGATCCACCCTCTCGCTCAGAAGTCGAACGTGAGATCGGACTGTTGAAGTTGAACAAAACCGCGGGACCAGATGATCTTCCTCCATCCCTCTTCAAATTCGGATGCTCTGCTCTTGTTGATGCTTTACATGAATTACTAGTGAAAATGTGGGAGCAGCAGACTGTCCCAACCGACTGGAGCCGCTCCGTTATTGTTCCCATCTTCAAAGGCGGCTCGCGCTCGGAATGCGGCAATCATAGAGGAATCAGTCTGATCTCCATCGCCTCCAAATTACTCGCCTCCATCATTCTTCATAGACTGACTGGCGATCGTGAAAGCCACATTCGTGAGGAGCAAGCCGGGTTTCGTCGGGGTCGGGGCTGCATCGACCACATCTTCACCTTGCGTCAGTTGTTGGAGCACCGTCACACATATTGGCGGCCCACCGTAGTCGTGTTCCGCGACATCAAAGGTGCCTTCGATTCCGTTGATCGATGTGCCCTTTGGAATTGTTTACTCATGAAAGATGTGCCCGAGAAATATGTTAATATTATCCAAGCATTATATGCGCGTAGCTCGGGCAGAGTGAGAGCTTACGGCAACCTGTCGTCACCCTTCAATATCTCCAGCGGTGTGAGACAAGGATGCCCGCTGTCACCTTTCCTATTCAACTTCGCTATTGACGAAGTCATGGAGATTACATTTACAGGACATGACTTGGAAGGTGTGGAGCTACTCCCAGGAGAACGACTTCTTGACTTGGAGTATGCAGACAACATTGCCCTCATCTGTGACAGCTTCCAGATGTGCCAAGCTGCGCTGGACAGATTAGCACTGGCTGTCAGTCGCTTCGGGCTTTGCTTTGCACCATCGAAATGCAAAGCGTTCCTCCAAGATTGGTAGGGATCGCCCCCTGTGCTGATCCTTGGTGGGGATCAGCTAGAAGTCGTTCAGAAATTCGATTACCTGGGAAGTTGTATCAGCGCACTTGGAATCGAAGACGAGATCACGGACCGTATAGCGAAAGCTCGTGGCGCTTTTGCTTACCTTCGTCATCTCTGTCGGCGGCGCGACATTACTCTCGCCCTGAAGGGTAGAGTGTACAATGCAGCGGTACGTTCGACCTTACTGTACGGTTGCGAAACCTGGCCACTATGATCGGCGGACATAAAGAGGCTAGTTAAGTTCGACCATTGGTGCCTTCGCAGTTTGGCTCACATCTGGTGGGAACACCGCGTGAGTAACGAGCTTGTTCGACGCCTTGTTTACGGCATAGGAAAAGGGAATGAACCGCTCAGCACCGTTATTTCCCGCACCAGGCTCCGATGGCTCGGTCACGTGTTGCGCATACCAGCCCACCGACTCACTCGACGAGCGTTGTTTGCTCACCGGGGATGTGGGTGGAAGAAGAGGAGAGGTGGCCAAGCGATGACTTGGTCCAGGGGAATGAAGTCCCTCACTTCGGAGCTAGCCTCGGTTAGAGCGTCACGGCTCTTTGGTTGGGGTCCAAAAGACGGTGACACACGTTTGGCTGGATACACTTGCTGACATGGCAATGAGCCGACTTCAGTGGCGTTTGTGCCGTGAGTTTCTTTGTCCCTTCCCATCCCTTTTCACCTCCCCTCCATCTACGATCTTATTTCGTAGGGTACAACATAATAATTTTTTTGCCTAGTAGCTGGCTGGTAGCTTACCGGAACGATGCCTACCTGTTGCTGGTAGCTCAGCTGACATGCAACTGTCGTATTTATTTTTCCTTTATGTATTGTATGTATGTATGTATTTCCTTTATGTATTGCGGTACAATAGCGGATGTGTTTTACAACCTTTAGCTGACATGTATAATGATGATGATGATGATGAAAGTGCAAAAATATGAGCAGCGCCATTTTTGGCCAAGATGAGGAAAGGCTCGGCCTTCAATGAACCCATTACTCGGAGAATAGATAAGCAAGTGCAGCTTCGAGGGATAGGGAAAGCTAAGGCTTCTACGACGCAATCCTATTTAAAACCAAGAGTGACAAGTATGGATCCGAAGGCGCCATTGGAACAGGTTGGGAAGCCTTCAGCGATTGCGTGTTATTTAACATGAAGAGTTGCAACGTAGAGGAGAGAGTAGAGGAAGGAAAACTAGCAGCAAGATTCGAGGGCTGTCTACTCCGAGGTGCATATCAATAAATTACACTGGAAAAAAAAAAAGTGACAATCGCGTAACGCAGTGAGACTGCGACAAGAATAGACATGGTGCGAGTAAAGTGAACAGCGTGGGATAGGAAGACAAGAAAACATGAAACAACGCTGGGACGAACAATACAGTACCTCAGCCAATTGCTTCTTTAACGACGCCAGACGAGATTCGTACAACTGTCGTTGCTGGCTTGCCTATAGCGACCGGTGAGTCACAAGCAGTGGGTGCGAAGGGGAGGGAGGAAGCATGCGAAGGGGGTGGGGGGCAAAGACAAAATGCACAGTGAGGAAACATGCGAAAAAGCATCAGCTGAATGACATGAGCATCATAAGCTTACGGCTTTGAGGCGCTCGGTTAGATCACGGATGTTCTCTTCATATGCCTCCTCACGCTGAGCTGCCTGGACGGGCGGACACACACACGCACACAGAAGTCATGTACTAGCCAAATATGGTACGACGTGGATAAGATGAATTAATGAGGAGCTATGCATATGTGACTCGTCACTCATTGCAAATGTCAGGTAGCGACGCGTGAAAGAGATTGACACTTAAGTGAGACGTACTAATGTTACTGGCCTCAAGGTAAGCCAAAATGAAATATGCGAAAGATACCCTTCAACCAAATCAAGAAAATGAGCTAAAAGGAGTTGAAACTAATGGTCGAATATGGTGTGTTGAGTAGAAAAAAGGAAAATATGAACAAAAATCCCTTGCCGATGAATAACCGTAATGGTGTAGAGTATGGGGAGCCAGCAAAACAGAAGCTACAAGTAAGTAGGAGAGGTCACCGAAAAGCATACTGAAATTGTGGGGTGTATATACCGTGCAGCGCCGTGTCCTTTCCAAGCCCCGTCAAACACATGGGAACCATCAGATTACTACCCAAGCAGTGGATCGATAAAGTCAGCATTAGATCCTCGACCGTCCACGGGCTCCGCGCTAACCTCCAACCACTGACCTTCCTCCAGAAGCATTCAGAATAATGCACAAGGGCGGTTGAGAGCTGATCGGAACAAAGGCCTATATATATATATATATATATATATATATATATATATATATATATATATATATATATATACATGGGGGAAATTAAAAATACCATAGTAATCAAAGTACAATATGAGCAATACTAGAACGAAACATCTTGTGTTTGTATTTCACACGCCGACTATTTTCTTATTGTGTCATTTTCAATGTTTGTGATATTATTCGTGTGAATAAATACAATTCTGTGCACAGTCCTTCCACTGATTCCGGTTGCGCGCCCTGTCTGCAAGCGCGTTAAGTCACTGGCAATCCTCATCCTTGGGTCCACATCCAGAGTGACTTAAGGGTCCGACGGCTGCTAGACGTGACTTCAGTGATTTCATGTGCTGTCGTCAGGTTGAAGGCTAACCTCCAGACAGTCGCCTCTAGCCCGGTGCTGAACCACCGAATTGAGTGTGGCGCGGCAAACGCTTAGGCACCAGTCATCTCAACAGGTGAAGCAAAGACTTGCATCCCCCAGAGCACGATGTCATCACTGTGAACACGGTGTTGCCATCGAACACGATCGATCCTCCTTAAACAACCGTTGTCGAAGGAGGAAAATCGGCACGTGTACTCCATGCGAACTGAACAGGTATCGCTACCATACAACAATACTGAACGAACAACGGCACAATAAACTTGGTCCTATATCAAGATTGAGACGTCAAGACAACGCCATAAGTGCCTCAGATTGATAAATACTGATCGGACGTTAGTGATGTGTAGAGAAACTTCTTTGCTGATAATGTCACCAGTAGAAGCATAGCTCCATAGGTAGACGAAAGTATCTACCTGATCAAGTTGTGTACCTTCAAAGATGACTACAACAGCGGGTGTTAGCAAGTTATGGAGCAACAATTTACACTTTGATGGGATGCTTCAAGCACCAAGCGATTCAGAGTGAGTTGCACGCCCTGTGGATCGTCTCCAAGTAAGGCGATATCATCAGCATAGTCTAGGTCGGTTGCGCACTCACTCGGTAGAGGCCCCAAACCAAAGGTCGGAAATCTACAGCTCTCGAAAGGACGTCTTCGGTTGCGAAGTTGAAAGGGAATGCGGACAAAGGGTAGCCCTGCCGCACACTGCTATCAAGAGCGTAGGACGAGGAAAGCTTGCTGTAGACCCTCACTGCCGCAGATATGAATCAAAAGCGTGCGTAGCATGGCAGTGTACTTCTCTGGCACCCCAGTCATTGGCAACCAAATTCATAAAGCAGGTTGATCAAGCGAATCAAACGCATCCAGTATGTCCAGGAATGCGACGATATTGGGTAGGTGGTAAGAATGGCCACGTGCGAGGAGTCGGCGGAGCGCGAAGATTTAATCCAGGCATTCGCGGCCGGGACGGAAACCAGCTTGTTCCCAAATGTAGTATGATTCACGTATTGGTGCCAGTCTTGGAAGATGTATAGATGCTAGTAGCTTGGAAACAACCTAAATGAGACTAATCGCTAGATGATTGACACATGAAGCGCGAGTGCCTTCTTGAAAATCGGAACAATAATTGATCTGTTCTAAGAGGAAGGCACTTTTTTCATGCCAGATTTTTGCGAACATGGTCAGCTGGATAGCGGTCACCACGCAGCCGTACCTGAACAGCTCCGGAGGAAGTCCGCCTGAGCCGGCAGCTATGAATCTCTTCAAGCATCGAATCTCGAGACACACTTCCGCTTCGCAGGGTGGATCCAGTGGGACGAACTAGAGTAGACAACAATGTGTACTGCGTGCACTGATGGACGGTGGAGGCCAGTTGAACTGCGAGTGAAAGTGCGCGGCCCAGCAGTTCAAACACTTCTGCTGGTTGGTGATCGCAGATCCATCCGCCTCGCAAATCACCTCTGACAGCAGGCTTTCTGAGGTTAGTGCATTGAATGAGCTGGAAAAGCTCGCGAGTGTTGACAGAGAGGGCAGCGGTCTCCATCTACAAAGCATGCAAAAACCACTGAGCATCGCGATCTTTGCATAGGCTTTGCATGAGAAGCCGGTTGTCAGAGCAGCGCCACTTGTTCAAATACGATTCTTCGGCAACCGAACAGCTCCAGAAAGCGAGCAGATATACAAGCTTTTAGAGGACGTCGAGTTAAACCGCAGCTTGATTGTTCGGAAGTGATCATTGCCTTATGTATACAAGTCCAGTGTTGTTCAATGTCTTGTGGTGGATTGCAGCTAAGTGCTTATGCCAGTGAAGACTGACAGCTCGCATGAACCGAGGAATCAGAAAAACTGTTCACATCAATATTGCGGTGCAACATTTTTGGAGACCCGCCAAAACGCACGCAGATTTTCGCGTAGACCATTGCATGATCTGAGTCAATGAAGGTGGACTAAAAGGACCTGTAGTCTCGTATGCTGCCACGCCATATAAAGCTGATCGCAATGTGAGCAATTTGAGACCACGTTTACGTTGGTGAAGGGGGACGCCAAGTTGCGGAACGCTTTTTCGTATGCTTGAAGTTGGTGTCCGACAGAAACATGATTGTCTTTTCATAGTGTAAGAACTCTCCGTCATCAAGTGCGTGGTGACCACCAAAGTAACGTTGGTATGGTAACAGACGACCAACCCGTGCACTGAAATCCCCAAAAAGGATGACATCAGATTTGCTAGCGTTACTCAGGAGCTGATGAAGATCCCGGTAAAAGTCGTACTTGACTGAGCCCCTACTGCAGTTAATGGGAGCGTAGACAGATATCACAAACAAGTTGTGACTCCTCGAGATGCCTGTTAATTCTACATGAACCCTTAAGCCGAACTGCACACAATCGGCTATTAATCTGGAATCAGTTCAGTAATTCCGTCTCGGTCTTGCCACTCAGTGTTATACTTACACCAGCCAAACCCGTTGACGCTGCTTCTGTCTCCAGAAAGACGCAGGTGGTATCTGGCTTCGTGGTTAGTAGGAGATGTCAGCATGAGCACAGTGATGGGGTCCTGAAATCGGGTTACGGAAAGGCAGCAGACGTCAACATCGAGGGACTCCAAGGTACTTTCTAACCTGCATGAGTGTCCGTACGTTGAAGCATGCCAAACGAGACGAGGAACGGAGTCGAAGAAGGGCCACGGGTTGAACTCTATGGTTCGCAGGGGCAAGCAGAATCGCAGCCAGATTCATGAACATAAGAATTAGGCAACGGATAGCAAGAATTGTTAACAAATGAGCAGTTGGCGTGCAACTAGGCCGCAAAAAATGCAACAAGAAGGGGTTGTAGCAGATGAGCACAAGATAGAACAGTCCAATTTTGTGCCAGGGGCGTAATGCTACCTGGTTGTTCAAGCCGAAGTAGGGAGTTGTCTTAGGAGACACCACCCTAAGCCTTTGGCTAAAAAGCCCACCCGCAAGGCAGTGGGGCGAGTTTAGGGAATCGCGCCTGTTGGAAGCCGCTGGTCGACTGCTCAGTTTATATGTCTTTCGTTTGGTCGGTCACCAAACAGCGGCCCAATCCTCCACACTATTTCAGTAAGAGAGCGATGTAATACAATGTTCCACCGAAGTGAAGGAGAGTGGCTTTATGTAGTGACGAGTCACATCTGCCACGTCACAGTGTTGTTAAACGTACATAGGTAGCTTCCTATGGAGAAAACGCTTGAAAGGCGAAAACTCGTCACGCTCACAGAACAAACGCTGAACGCTAGACGGATCACTGAAGAGTGACCGGAAGTGCAGAAATCCATGGTTTGGAAAATAAGCTTTAGTGAATGGCTAACGTTAGTTCGAAGACATGTAAGTGGATCTTCAGCTGCACACCATGTACGAAAATGCTAGTACTGTGGAGTTGCTGGACAGCAAAACGTGAAAGGCGTTAGGTTGTCGCTTCAGGCTCACAAACGGCACTGGTTACGCGATGTAGTCTAACATGCTTTAAACAATGCACACTCAAAGTGTAACAGAGCTCAACTCGAAAGCTTCGCAACAAAGAACATGCACTGCTTATATTAAAGGCTAAAAAACCATGAGCTCAAATTTTTTCCTAGTCAAATATACCTATCCGTGGAATGAACTGCCAAACTCAGGTCATGTGAAGATGTGACAATAGTGGGTAGGAAACTCGCAATTTACATTGACCTGATTGGTTTGGCTGCGTCCGTATTCGGATTTGCCTGTCACTGTGACGTCCATAGAGACAGTCACAGGACGCCTGCGCCTACAAAGGGGACCATGGGTG